GAAGATGTGGCTCTTACTTTTTAAATTAATTGAAAGGATTGTTTTCAGTATTTAATGAACTGTCCATTCAGATGATCACTGTATTCGTTTCACTTTCTGCGGTGGGCTTTTGTGCAGGTTTGCAGGTCAAGTGGGTTACATCATAGCGGGCATGAAGGACGTGAAGGAGGCCCAGATTGGTGACACGCTCTGCCTCCAGGAGCAGCCGGTCGAAGCTCTTCCAGGGTTTAAACCTGCCAAAGCCATGGTGTTTGCAGGTAAAAGCTCTTCTTATTATCAGTTACTGCTTGCTTTCAGATAAAATCTGAGATGTTGGGCGCCGCTACAGCTCACCTGGTTGAGCTGGCGTCCCATGTACAGGGACTACAGTCCCCGATGCAGTGGTCGTGGGTTAGAGTCCCGCTCATGACCCTTTACTGCAGGTCCTTCCCTCATTCTTCTCCCCCCACTTTCTTGTCTCCCTCTCTCTGTCCTATCCAATAAAGCCGAAAACATAGCCAAACATAAAACTCCTTTAGTGCATGTTGTGTTTCACTGGCTAGCGCAGCACTTTCCACACAAATGAAGAGTTCTGTTTACAGCTGATGTGCGCTCTGTCGGTTTTTTCCTGTCCCTCAGGCATGTATCCAATGGACCAGTCAGAATATCCCGGCCTTCGCAGCGCCATTGAGAGGCTAACCCTGAATGACTCAAGTGTCACAGTGCAGAAAGACAGCAGTCTGGCCCTGGGAGCAGGCTGGAGGTCAGGACGGACGGATGCTTTGAATTAGAATAAAAAATGGCTTTAGAATCCCAAACCGAGGAGCGGCTCGGTGCGGGATGAGAACAAAAAAAGTGTGTGTGTGTGGGGTTTTTAAGACGCTCAGCGGTGCACCCACAAATGTTTAGACGCTGTTCTAATGGCTACTGTTGCGGAAGAGTTATCCGCAGTGTCCTAAAATGTCCCGAATTCAGTGGAAGCAGCGTTCTGTATCATCTTTCATTAGTTTGTACACAAACTTGGACAACATATGCTCTCATTTACTGGCATCCGACAACTTTCTTTAGGATCTACTGCATGTTGCCAGTATAGACAGCCAAGAGTTTATTTATCATCACGGGTCACATTATGAGTCCAGATGATGTAAATTTGATTCTGTTCGAGGCAGTGATCTAAATAATTTGGAAGTATAACGCTGTGCTGGAATAGCGGCCAGTCTTACTCACTGTTGAACTCTTTCCAGACCGGCTCTCTGTAATTAAAAGCATGAATATCAATTATAAAACTGGAGTGCACCTGTGGACCTCCCTGTTCCCCTGCAGACTCGGCTTCCTGGGTCTTCTCCATATGGAGGTGTTCAATCAGAGGCTGGAGCAGGAGTACAATGCCTCGGTTATCGTAACTGCGCCCACCGTGCCCTACAAGGCCGTCCTCTCCTCGGCCAAACTCATCAAGGTAAGAGCCGCTTCCTGCTCGTATATCGTCCGGTCTCGCAGCAGAGTTTGGCCAAGTTTAGCAAAAAGAAAGTTTCGGCCGCCTCGGAAATTAATGATCGATGAAGGCTGTCTGGCATTACTGGCCCGCTTCCCTGCGAAATGATGTAGTGTGGGAGATACTTGATGTGGAAATACTTTAGAGGACGATCAGAATGCTCAAGTGCAGAGTGAGAATCGCAGCCAGTTTGAATACATAAAGGGCCCAAGTCGAGTTTAGTTGGAAACGTTTCCTGTCTCGCTGACAGTAAATAGACGAGAAATGTGCATCACTTTGTTCAGACTCTCTTGTTCTCCTCACAGGAACACGGCAGGGAGGAGATAACCATCGTGAACCCTGCTCAGTTCCCAGACAGATCGGTGGTTTCCGAGTATTTGGAGCCGATGGTGCTGGGAACCATTCTGGCTCCAGAAGCTTACACCGGAAACATAATGAGTCTCTGCTTGGTAAGAAGAACATGCCGGTTAAATGAAAACTGCTCTCTGTCTTCAGACTGAATTTGATCTTTGAGTTACTTGTGTAGCTAACCGACAGTGTGTCCAACTTTGTAAACATCATAAGTAGAGTATGCAGTGCATCTTTAACATTTTTTATTGTAAAGTATCTTAATATCACAACAGCAACTGACAGCTAAACTAAAAAGAAAACATCTGTTGTTTGTTGCAGTCACGTTCAGTCTGCATGTGATTCCCGTATGTCCTACCTACCTGTCCTCCTACGTACCCACCTAGCTGCACTTAATGCTGCCAACTTAGTAACTTTATCACAAATCAAACAACGTCTGAACTTAAGTTGCATTTTAAAAAAACCAAACCCAAAAAAACACCAAATGACAAATCGATTGACTTTTCAGACAAACCTTTGCTCATTTCCGTAGAAGACAGTTGCCACTACTGTCTGTCTTTCGCACCACTCTCTTTCCTTCTGCTCTGTTCAGTGAGTGGCAAAGAGAAGAGAATGTCTGACGCAAAGACATTCTGTTGCATCTAACTTTCTCTCTGAGCGATCATTTCACGTGCAAAAATCACTAAATTGACAGGACAGCCGTTGTTTTTAATCATGTTAGTCAGATGACATGACATTTATAAAATCAGTATTTTATTTCATATCCATTCCGCTTCCTGGCAACAGAAATCTGTGAGTGAGAACAGCTACTCTGGGAAATTGGATGGTTTTAAAACAGTTTATGTGAGCACAGAGAGCAGGAGAGACGCAAACAGATGTAACAGGACGACACCAACGGGGCAGAATCGTGCTGATTAGGGTTTAGGGTTAAAGCCCTCCATCATCTGGCCCCCTCCTACCCCACAGACCTGCTCCAGACTCACACCCCTTCCCTCAGCCTCCGTTCCTCCTCTGCTCACCTCCTCGCCCCACCACCAAGGACCAGGCACCGAACCTGGGGGGACAGAGCCTTTTCTGCTGCTGCTCCCACCGTCTGGAACTCCATCTCCAATCAGACACTGTTCTGACCACCACACATTCAAGCCCCTTTTAAAAACTCACCTTTAACTTGTTTTTTTATCTGCTTTCTATTCAACTTGCTTTGTTCTTGTTTTTATCTTCTCCCCTGTGACGCGACTTTGAGTATCTTGAAAAGCGCACCACAAAATAAATGTATTATTATTATTATTATTTGACATCATCCAGCAACATTTTAGCAGCTTTCCACTGAAACTAGTTTCAACGCAGTCGTGCACTCATATCACATCACTGGTTTTCCACAAAGGAGGACACAGCGCTAGAGCTAGTTAGTAGCTAGTACCAGGATCGCAAAGGCAGCCACATTTTACATTTTCATCTAAACCTGTAACGTCCTGCTTTCCTAAACATGCCAGATGATGCATTCCTTTGTGCTCTTTTAATACAACTACAGTTTCATTAGCATCTGTTGTATCTGTATAAATGTTTGTCTGCTGCACGTCTCATGTGATGGTAATGACCTTAAATTATTCTATATTCATAAAAATGTAGTGATTTAGCCTATTTCTGTATGTTTTAACCCCGTATGCTTAAAATGACGTTAATATAAAACTAAACTGCATTCATAATTGGAGACTGAGTTGGTGTTTTTGTACATTTCCGCCCACACTGTCCTTTAATGGATCAGTCCTCCAGCTGTGCTCGGTGTGCGTTCATGTGTTTTGGAGGAATGTTAAACCTCAAGGGAGGAGGTGGGATTTTTTTCATTGTGTGCCTTCAGAGTCTTGATGTCTCTGTGATCCTGCGTACTCCGGCTTTAAAGTGCAGAACTTCTCTTCTCCAGAAGTGAACGCTTCTTCTGCTGAAGCTTTCCAATTTAACCTGATCACAAAGAGAGTTTATATATCAGATTTTTCTTTTCTTTTTTCTTTTTGTACTTGGATAAAAACGAAAGCCAAGAAAATTCTCTTTTGTGTTTCCCACACAACAGAAGTTTATCAGACTTTCTTTGATGATTTATGAAACACACGGACGGCTGATTGCTTGTGTTGTTACAGAGTCGCAGGGCGGTGCAGAAGAACATGGTGTACATAGACGACCAGCGCGTCATGATGAAGTACCTCTTCCCTCTCAATGAAATCGTGGTGGATTTCTATGACCTCCTCAAATCCCTTTCATCTGGATACGCCAGGTAAAACTAAGCAGGTGCTCTGTAGACACATGCTCACAGTTGATTATATTTACTTAACTTCACTTTAGGTGCTTGTTGTGTTCAGTTTGGCAGGTGAGGTTTTTCAGGAAAGTATCTTGTCACAGTTTGTTAAAACTAAATGAAATGATCTCCACAGCTTTACGTTATTGGTATTGTGAGTTTAAGTCTTAGAAACTTGTATTTTGTCTTGAAACGTCCTTCTTTTCCAATCAAATGGCTTTTTTTTTGGCTTTACTTTTTCCTGAGAGCGCTCCATGTTTTCAGCTTCTCATCGTTTTGGTTTCTTCCTGCACAGCTTTGATTATGAGAATGCCGACTACCAGAGAGCTGATTTGATAAAGATGGATATTCTCCTGAACGGGCGGCCAGTGGAGGAGCTCACCACCATCGTACACAAGTACAATTTAAATTCTAAGTCATTTTCATTGTAATTTTTGGCTCCCGTTGTTAAAAACTGACGAGGAACAACAAGTGGACAAATGAGTCTATGGGGCTAGCACTTTGTTTTTGTCAAATAAATGAAATTAAAATGAAATATTACATCATTTAGATGCTATAAACTAAATATCTTTGTTTTCCACTAGATGTGTTGTATAGCAGTTCCCTATTTTTCCTCATTTAACGTGACTGTAACGCTGCTTGAAGGCACCTTTATATTTTGTTTGTCACAGCAGTCACCCGTAGCTTAATTATTATTGTCGCTGTCAAGGTTACAGTATATAGCCCTTCATTATTATAGTAATTATTCTGAGCCTATGGAGCATGAAATGCATTCAACACTATGGATAGCATTAAGAAATGGCCTCTTGGCAGCCAGCGTTAACACGACTTTATACGTCGGACGAGGGCGTCTTTCTATTTGTGACAAGGGCAGCGGAGTAACTTTACAGAAGAAAAGTGATGACGCGCAGCAGGTCTGTGTTTAATGTGCTCGCTATCAAAGCCGCTACAGGAGTCAGAACAGACCTCTGTGACTGAAGGGCGCCACGCTCCAGCAGTGATGGCTGCTCTCAGAACCATCACACCGGGAACCTTGGAGCCGAGCCGAGTTGTTCTTTAAGGAAACGGCACCGATCACAGAGCGGCGTATCTTGCGCAGGAGGCACCTCCACGATACGTAGACCTTTGATTTTATGTAAAGCGTCTCACAGTGTGAAGGTCACACAGTGTGAAGGTCACACAGTGAACCTCCTGCTCCTATAGCACATAGTTGGACATCCTGGAAGATATTCCCATTTCCATTGGTAAAGATTCAAACTAAAACATAATTAGCTTAGCTTACCATAAAGGCCTTGAGCAGGAGGAAGTAGCTTCCAAAGTATGAAAACATGCCTGCTGACATCTCTA